AAAGGGAAAAAAGTGTGTGGGGGTGGGGGGGGGGGGCTCAACGAGGCTCATTAAAAGCTGCACTGGTTGGTTTTCACTTCAGGTTAAACTAAAATCAATGGCAGCTTTTGAAAGCAGTCCCAATGAAAACTTTCATTGTCAATTTAAAGGAAGCAATAATACAGACCTTGCTTTGTGGCCAGGCCACACATTCTTATTCCCTAATGCTTCTTATTCCCATTCTTTATTGGATTTCATGACTGACCACTTGAAATGCTTGTTCCTTTGAGAGCAGATGCACCTTAGAGTTGCCAACATCTATATAATATGACAGGTCCAACTGGCAAGGTGGAGCACTGCTGCCTTAAGCATTTCTTATTAGATCACTAATTAAGAGGAGCATTCTGTGAAAAGAATAATAAAAGGATGAGCATTTCTTAAAAAACATGCAGATCACCTACTGCATTTCCCTACCAAAGTTTTAAACTAAAATCTTCTGATGAAGTAAAGGGATGTCATTACCATTTTGGTCAAAACTCCTAAATGACCTTATGTTGGACGATAGACACATGATCACTGTCAATAGAAAATATGTCTGACTGAAATGTTGATAATTTAACAAAACTCTGATCTAAAACGGCATAGCATTCTGGGAAATCTAGGCAGAGGGACGGCTTTAACTTCTCAACCTCTCACAGCCCAGCTAAGCAAGATTGGTGGCAGCAACTATCTCACTTGCTCTTTGGTAAGCTAGGGACAACCTGTGCCCAGTAGCAGTTTCATGATTCATCAGCATGCTTCAAAATAAAACAGAAATGTACTTTATTTGTCATCAAGACGTGTTCCCATACAATGACGAAACAGTCACACATGAGAAACACTCAAGTGGAGCAGTGAGCAGCTATTTAAGCACCCAGGGAGCAGTTGGGAGTTATAATAGTCATAATAATAATAATAATAATAATAATAATAATAATAATAATAATAATAATAATAATAATAATTTTATTTGAAAAGCGCCTTTCAGGACACCAAAGGACACTTACAGCATTGGTCACAATGTGAATGTGAGAATGTGAGGAGAATCTGTGAAAATACAGATTAGAGACAAGATGGCATGAATTACAGGGCATTGTTTACAAATGAAGTTAAGATGGAAATGCTAATGTAAAGAGATGTGTTTTCAAAGCAGTCTTGAACACAGGAAGAGAGGTGGTGTTTCTTAGGTCAGGTGGTAGAGAGTTCCAGAGGAGAGGTGCAAAGCAGGTGAAGGCCCTGCTCCCCATGGTGGAGAGGCAGGCAGTGGGTACTTGGAGGTTTAGGGAAGAGGATCTGAGAGAGGGGATGGAGAAGTGTACGAGGTCAGACATGTGAGGAGGGGCAAGATGGTGGATAGCTTTAAATGTGAGAAGAAGAATTTTGAAGGCGATGCGTGATTTGGAGCCAGTGGAGCTGCTGCAGGACTGGGGTGATGTGGTTATGGGAGGAGGTTTGGGTGATGACACGTGCAGCTGAGTTCTGCACCATCTGAAGCTTATGGAGGGATTTGTTGGGGAGGTCAAAAAGAAGAGAGTTACAGTAGTCAATCTGTGAGGTCACAAGACTGTGGACAAAGATGGCTGTGGTGTTGTCTGAAAACCAGCGATTGAGTTCATTGAGACAGTCAGAGAGGATGGAGGGAGGGTGTGTGGAGTTTGGCTTAGTTGACAGGTAGAGCTGTGTGTCATCGGCATAATAGTGGAAACGGACACCAAACTTGTGGAAAATATAACCAAAACGAAGGAGGTAAGTAACGAAGAGAAGGGGTCCAAGGACAGAGCCCAAGGATTTAATCTAGATGAATTGAGTGTGGTCAGAAAGACAAGATTTGAGCCAGTTAAACGCAGTACCTGAGATGCCAATGGATGTGAGTCTGTTGAGAACAGTGTAGCATTTTCCTGCATATAATTAATCATTTCTGATTAGATTTCACTTGTTCCTATAACTGCTCGAAGGAAGGAACAAATCCCACTTTAACTTCAGACAATTTTTTTTGGATTTTGCATGGAACTTCATTTGTGACCCTAATTAGCATCTCTTATTCAAAACCCCCCCACCAGACTTCCTGACACCTTAATGTTAATAGATAAGCACAAGACTGTTGGTTCCTTTTCAAAGGGGGGTCATAAACGCCTTTAACCAGACTCTTCAGTGAGTGAGACAAAGGACCTACATTCTTCATTAAATGTGAAAAAAAGAAGGAATCAGATTGAATGTTTTTATACAACTGTATGTTTTTATATATCCTAATCAAAGAAATGTGATTTACCTTTTCTTTTACAGAAAGAACAAAACCCATTGAAGCTAACTGCCTGTTTTTTTTTTTTTGATGAAATATTTTCCTAAAGAATATGTTTCTTTTATTTCATGATTTTAAACAATGTGTGTTTTATTCCATGATTTAATCCTTAGAAACCTTAGGCCTTGAATTGTTAATTAAATGTGACTGTTACATCCCCAGTGTGGATGTTTGATTTTGCATTGAAGTAATGCCTTGTGTTTTTTTAGGCTCCGCCTCCTCTCCTGTGTCTCCCCTGTGATTGGGTGCTGCTCCTTGGGTCTCAAGCCAATCAATCAGCTGGGCCCTATTTAATGGCTGTGAAGCTGGACTTCTGCGCCTATGGGCCACTTGACTGACATACTCAATTTGTTGTCAACTCAAAGGGTTTTTGTATTTTACAAATTAATGTAAAATTGGTTAGTCTGATTTTGTAGGGGAGAGCTGCCTTTTTGTTTAAACTTAGTTTTCTCCTGTTTATGTGATTGTTAGGCAAGGTTATGTTAGGTTTGTATATTTCATTTTCATTGGGGTTAGGTAAGTTTAAATTTTATTTTTCTTTCARGGTTGTTTTGTTTGTTATTTTGGCCTGAGCTCTCCCTGAAGCCATTTAATCAGACTCCCAGGAAAAGAAACTTAAAATATGGCAGAAAATAAACACCTTAAATGCCATTTTGACTCCTCCTTCATTGTCTAGATTTATGTTAGTCCCTTTAAACTCCTCTATCAATATTTTTTGATATTGACTGATATTAAACAAATTTTTTTCAGACATTTCACCCAGCACTAGCACACATTTTTTCATTGTGTTACTCTCAGATGTTCATCCAGTGATTTCTTTCTGATAGTAAAAGCCAGAGTGTTTAAATGTCAGTGTTAAACTTTTCAGAGTCAATTTAACTCCCCCTAGTGTTATTTTAACACTTTCTGAGTAAACTGACTTCCAGTGTTGGTGTTTATTCAGTGTTGATTTCCTCAGTGTTGTCTCAACACGACAGTGTTAAATAGGCTCCACCCACTGCTAAGTCTTATATAACACTTAACAGTGTTGTTATATAACACCCTGCAATGTTGAAAGAAGTATTCTGAAAAGCTCCGCCCTTTTCCACCTCATGTCAGACAGACCAGTATTTTCACATCAAGGAAAATTCAGAYGAGGACCAAATAGATTGGACAGTGTTAAATTTACCTCTTTAAGTGTTGATTTAACACTGTGAAATTTATGGTAATCTTGTGGAAATTATGTGTTTGTATGTTTATGATCATTAAAGAAGTTCATAAGTGTAAATATCTGTTGTTCTAGTTAGTTGTTTTGTTCAGGTTTATCAATTGATCAAGTTTAAGTTTGTGTTATTGGCGATAAATCGACACTATGAGTGGGAGTTCCTGGTGTGTGAAGGTCAACTCCATAACACTTATCCTGAAATTACTGTGCAATGTTAATGCAACACATAAAAGAGTTGATCTTAACTCTAAAGTGTTAAACTTACACTTTCAAATTTACTGTGTAATGACACCTCAGTGTCTGTTTTACACCCCTCTACACAGCAAAATAGTAAATAATAAACACAGCAGAGTGTCAAATTAACACTCATGTGAGGTATATGAAACTCCAGTGTTAACCATTAATAACTCAATGAAGTGTTGAAAAGCATGAGAATCAGAGTTGATTTGTCACCACAGTGGAGTACCTTATTAACTCCATTTAGAGTCATAATTACTCTCATCAGTTATTTGACTTGAAGTATTAAGTTTTATTAACACTGTACAGTGTTA